CTAACAGGGGGTGGCGCCCCAACACCCCCATCGGCCCTACCCTGAGGGTGACTGGAGGTGGGATCACAACCTCCCAATCAGCCCTGCTCTGTGCATGACAGGCGGTGGTGCCCAACTCCCCAGTCGGCCTTGCTCTGTTGCTCTGAGCCCGACCAGGGGCGGCACCTAGGGATTGGGCCTGCCCTCTGCCACCTGGGAGCAGGCCTAAGCCAGCAGGTCGTTATCTCCCGAGGGGTCCCAGACTGCGAGAGGGCACAGGCCGGGCTGAGGGACCCCCTCTCCCCACCGAATGCACAAATTTTTGTGCACCGGGCCTCTAGTATATATATAAAAGCCTAAGGGACTGGAAAACTGGAAGACCGGCTGGTAGCTATGATGTATACTGACCACCGGGGGGCTGACACTAAATGCAGAAGCTGCCCCTTGGTGGTCAGTGTGCTCCTATAGCAGGAGTGCCATTCAGCTGACAGGCGCCAGATGTTGGGCTTACCACTGGCGAGAGCAGCTGATGTGGCTCCAGCCTCTCTCGCGGACACTCCCCCTGTGTGCCTAAGCAGCAGCAGTGATAGGTGCAGTGGGCCAGTAATCAGTGGGAGCAGTGTGGTGCCCAACCCAGGCTCGGGCTCCTCCCTGGCCACCTGCCATGTTGCACACAACTTCGTGCTGTGCAGGATTGACACGGACAGTGGGCTGGAGCCCAACGAGGTGGCGGGTAAGGCCGGGCTGCAGTGGCATGGAGGTCCACTGATCCCTGTAGGCCAGACCAAGGGACCCCACTGGTGCACAAATTCGTGCATCAGGCCTCTAGTCATTTATAATTGCAACAAAAATGGTAAGATATCAAAGAATAATCTCACCAAAGATATACATAATGTTTATGGAAAAATTATAAAACTCTATTAAAAGATTTTAAAAGATCCTAGCTGGCATGGATCAGTGGTTGAGTGTCACCTATGATCCAGGAGGTTATGGTTTAATTCCTGGTCAGGGCACATGCCCGGGTTGCGGGCTCAATCCCCAATGTGGGGCATGCAGGAGGCAGCCGATCAATGATTCTCTCTCATCATTGATCTTTCTATCTCTCTCTCCCTCTCCCTTCATCTCTGAAATCAATAAAAATATATTTAAAAATGTTTTGAAAGAGACCTAGAAAAATGAGGAGACTGCATGTTCAGAGATGGGAAAACAATATGTTAAAGATGTTGATTTTCATTAATCACATTAATGTAATTACAACTGAGACTTCAACGTTTTGCGAGTGTATGTGTGTAACTTGAGATATACATTCTAAAATTCATTGGAAGAGAAAGAAGCAAGCCTTGCCAACACATTTCAAAAGTAAAAAGTAGACAAACTTGCACTATAAGATATTAAGACTTCTTATAAGATATTAAGACATAAAACCACAGTAACTAAAATGGTGAAGTACTGGCCTAAGGATATAGAAATATACCAGTATAGTAGAATGTATAAAAATCAAAAGAATTAAAACTATTTTCTAGCAGAGAATTTTGAGCACATGCAAAAGGTGACAGAACAAAGTGGGGTTGGGGTGTGGAGGGATTGAGCAAAACAAACAAAAACCAAGTCATGGACATGGACAGCAGGATGGTGATTGGGGGTTGGAGGTAGTAGAGGGCAAAGAGGAAATAAAAGGTGATGGAAACAATTAAATTAAATTAAAAAAAAGGTGACAGAACAGTATAATATTCAATATCCAGTTTTAATAATTATCAATTTTGTTTAATTTATACCCCATACTCCCCCACTCCTGAACTATTTTGAAGCAAATCTCAGATGTTATATAATTTTATTCATAAATATTTTAGTGTGTATCTGTAAATTTTCATTTTTAAAATAATATATATTTTATTGATTTTTTTTACAGAGAGGAAGGGAGGGGGACAGAGAGTTAGAAACATCCATGAGAGAGAAACATCGATCAGCTGTCTCCTGCACACCTCCCACTGGGGAGATGCCCGCAACCAAGGTATATGCCCTTGACCGGAATCGAACCTGGGACCCTTCAGTCTGCAGGCCGACGCTCTATCCACTGAGCCAAACCGGTTAGGGCTAAATTTTCATTTTTATAGTTTGTTTGAATCAAAATCCAAATAAGGAGCACATATTGCAATGGTTATACCCTCTGAATCCATTTTTTGGTAAGTTCTCCCTCTTTTTTCCCCCCTTTCAGTTTATTTGTTGACTAACCTGTGTGTTTCTTAATATAAGAATTTCTTCTGTTGTGAAAATAATCACTTCCTACTTTGTTTTTTAAATTTTGGATTGCTTTAGTGTTATTTACAATAGCCAAGATTTGCTAGCAGCCCAAGTGCCCATCAGTAGATGAGTGGATAAAACAAGCTGTGGTATATTTACACAATGGAATACTACTTAGCTGTAAAAAAGAAGAAATCTTACTCTTGGCAACGGCATGAATGGGTCTCTCTAGAGAGTATTATGCTAAGTGAAATAAGCCAGTCAAAGAAAGATAATTTCCATATAATTTTCACTTATATGTGGAATCTAATAAACAAAAGAAATAAAATAGTAACAGACTCAGATGCAGAAAACAGACTAACAACTGTCAGAGGAAAGAGAGTTGGGGGTCTAGTAAAAAGTTGAAGAAATTAAGTGAAAAAACCCCTCATAGACAACAGTATGTTGATTCCCAGATAAAAAGAGGGGTGGGGGAAGTAGGAGAGGATAAAGGGGGCATAAATGGTGATGGAAGGAGACTTGACTTGGGGTGGTAAACACATAATACATTATACAGATGACGTATTATAGAATTGTACCCCTGAAATCTATATAATTTTATTAACCAGTGTCACCCTAAAAAATTCAATAATTATAAAAAATAAAAGTTTGATTAATTTGAAAAAATTTGGATTGTTTTATAATTATTCTTTTAATATTTTAGTTGTATTCCAATAATTTCTTGATAAAGCCATAATATGGTAGTATAGGATTATTTCACTGTACCCATGGTATAGTTTTGCTCTAGGCAATTTGCCTCAAGGGGGTTATCCCTATGGTTTAGATTACTGTTTGGATACCAGGACAGGTGTGCATCACTTACAGTTGTGTGGAGACCATCTGTTCTGTCAGTGAAGCTATTCAATCTTTCTTCACTTTCCAATATTTTATCAATATTTTGGGTCATAATAATTTTTACATCAGTTACTTGACTCCTCAGTGTGGATATCGAGCTGTCACCTTGATTTTTATTGTATTTCATCTATACAGAAGAGAAATATAATGCAAATTTTATTTTCTATAAATAAAATCTAATATGGTATAATATATTGTACATATTAGAATATTAGTGTCAAAGGCATATCTCAGTATGGTGGTTACCAGAGGGAAGTGGGGGCGGATTTAAAGGGTGAAGGGAGTCAAATATATAGTGACAGAAGATTTGACTTTGGGTGATGGGCACACAATGCAATATACAGATGATATATCATAGAATTGTACACTGGAAACCTATATATCTTATTAACTAATGTAACCCTAGTAATTTTAATTAAAAATAAATAAAATATCTGGGGGAAAAAAGGCAATATCTCACTGTATTTCAG